CTAACATAGTCTGCAACAGAACTCTGGTCAATGATATGAAAGGGAAATCTGGATATCTTCAGGAAAGATGCCATTGCTCTTAAAAGAGGCACGTGGCACCTAGGGCCAGAAGTTCAAGACCAGCCTGGGCAACATGGCAACATATTGAGACCCCATTCCTACAAAAAATTAAAAAATTATCTGGGCATAGTGATACACACCTAGCTACTCAATAGGCTAAGACAAAAGGTTCACCTGCAATCAGAAGTTTGAGGCTGCAGTGAGCTCTGATCAGGTCACTGCACTCCAGCACTCCAGCCTGGGCAGCAGAATGAGACCTAGCCTTAAAAAAAAAGGAGGCACCTGAGAAAAATTGGGAATTCTTGACCCCTCCAAGGATGCCTAGAACTGCACCCACTGGTTTGTGACCTTGAAGGAAACCATACAGGGATACAGCAGATATGCTGCGGATATTGGAGTACAAAGAGAAAGGAACCTGGGTCCTTAAAGATAATAGAGTCTCTGAATTAGCTCCCTGCCACCATTTCTCAAGACTTCTTATGTAACATACTGTACTTCATCAATTCTAAAATGCATATTTGTTCACATTTTAGCTTTTTGAAATCAGTATACATCTTGCAATCAATGGCATCTTAATCTCTGTCAACCAAATGGCAGCTTTGACTTGGCTGTCTTGTATGTGTGAACTTGGTGTTTTTTGTGGTGTCATGACACGGCAACTATAACCCCATGTTTTGGTCCACAAACCTTGCAAAGACTTTTTGAGTCCCAGCTGATTTTTGACTGTCTGGCAAGGTTCAGAAGGAAATCCTGGGGGTTTATAGTGGATGTGGTAAGCAGCTTGCAAAATGGCCCCCTATGGTCTTAAGATCCCACAGTACATACCTTCATGCCCCACTGTTCTAGGGTTGTTCTGTGTGACCAGCACCATACAGCAGAAATCATATATGTCTCTTTTGATATTGGCTTGTAAAAAGACTACAGCTTCTGTCTTGAATGCTCACTGTGCTCTGTCTTTGATGATTTGCTGCCATGTGCTGAAGACAGTGAGGAGGACTATAGAGGGGCCCAAATAGTGAGGACCTGAGGTATCCAGCCAATGGCCAGCTAAGAGCTACGGTCTGGCAACAGCCATGTGAGTGAACTGGGAAATGGTCTCTCTAGGCCCATGTGACTGCAGCCCCCAGCAGACAGCTGGATTGCAGCATAATGAGACCATGAGCCAAATCCACCCAGCCACTCCCAGATTCTTTCTTCTTCTTTCTTTCTTTTTTTTTTTT